AAACAAATCTATTATATTATCTTCTATCTTATTCATACATATATACATTAAGTATGTACATAAACGTATACATATTAATAATAATATAATAATAAAGAAAAATACGACCGATTCCGTTGTGAAAAATATTTACGTCAAAAAAAAAAAATTAAAAAAAAAAGTAAACGTTCAAAAAAGAGAGAGAAGAAAAAAAATTTATAAAACGTTGCCAATTTTCTGTTTTATATTAAAAATATTCAACTTAAAAAGAAAAAAAACAACAGTTAAATTATTTTAATTATGATTAAATTAGACGAATTTCTATTCTATTTTCTAATTCTATTTTCGTTAAAGAATTTTAATTAGAGAAATTGAAAAAAATTATAATACATTGTTGAATTTATGAACGAAAAGATTATCACACACTTACGTTCATATACAGTTATTGTTATATATATACGGATATAACAGATTTATTGACGTATAATATTGCAGTAGCTCAAGACCAGGCATATTTAAATTAGTGATGACATAAGTAAGTATTGTTAATTTATCGGATGACATACAATGTTACTACAATTGTGTATAACTGTGCTTGGACTATATTTAAGTAATAGTTATAGTATATGATTTTAATATATGTACTTAAATATATAATATTTATACCCAAAATATATACATATGTACCTATGTATTTGCATAAATAATTACACTGAATTTAATATATAAAATAAACTAATTAATTTACATATTATGGCATTGATAACAAAACTTTTGGAAATTTCCACAAAAACAAAAAAAAAAAACAAATATTTCGCTTTTTTTATTCTTTTTATTAATAGTTTCTTAATTTTATGCGTGTTTATTTTTTAAATAATGAATAAAACATCATATGAGAGTATAAATACAGTTTTATATAATAACATATGGATAGTATATTATATACTATGAGTATATGAATATATGCTACATACATTCATAAAGAGAATGAAATAATTTGTATACAAATAATTAAAAATAGGTACAATGTTTATAAATGTACCTTTATATACAATGTTGCTATAAAATATATACATATTTTTTTACATTATATTGTATTCAATTAATTTCCTTGAACTCTTAAACGCTAACCCACACAAAAGCATTAAAAAATATATTTTCAATGAAAGGAAGAAAAAAAAATATATATGTAGGAATATATGTATAATATTGAAAGTTTTTAAGAGAATTATAAACAATATACTGCTAATTAATACACATATACATAAACATAATACGTTTGAATGCGATTCCAATCTCATTCTTGACAAATAAACCATGTTTTGCTTAGTTCGGTTTGCATAGATGTTGGGCAACATTTTTATAAATTTAGTTTTAATGTTTTTTTTCCTAAGAGGTGAGGTAGGCATTGTGTAAAATATACATAACTAAAAACTTTATACTTCTCTCTCTCTAACTCTTCGTAATTAGGTACGGAATTGGGAACTCTGGATAAGAAAAATCCAGGTTATATATATATAAGAGAACAAAAAAGAGAAAATTATTTTTAATTTGTAGTTTGAGGGTGCGATGTAAAAGTGGTAATTGAAAAAATTTATAAAGGCAAGGAACGTCAGTTTTGAATTCATTGTTTTTTTTTTCTAAAATTTTTTGTGTATGAGTAATTTGTGTGAAAAAGAAATAAAAATAGTAGGTAGAGAGATAAAATATAAAATTATTGTCATAAAATTATTTTTATTAATAAAATATAAATGTATATAAGGTAAGGTTATAAAAAAAAACGAGCAAAAGAAAAACAACTGTTATATGAAAATTTAATTTCGTCATAAATGGTAAATAAGCTTTTTTTGTTTATTTTATTAAAAAAAGAAACTACCTATAATAAAAAGAGTAATGTATAATTTTCTATATACATACATATATTTACATACATTTGGACCCGACACAGGGCTTTTAAGAATTAAACCGGCTAATATTTTTTTTGTAAATTTTTCTACTTATCCCTCCTCCCCCCATTCTTTTAATTCTAAACAATTATAATTATTCTTAACACATACTAGGTCCTAATTATAAATACATACATTGATGATATGCACTTATAAAACAGAGTACTTATATAACTTTTATGTTTTGTAAATATTCTATCGCTATTTAAATAGAAAATGTACATATGTAAATATTTAGTTCTCCAAAACTTTTATACCAAAACTTTTTCCATTGTAACATTTTTGCAAAATATTTTGACTATTAAATCATAAGATTTGACATTTGTTACACATGTAAAAAATTAAGAATAAATTGAGTACGAAATGTAAGTTTTAAAACCAGTCTCACAACAATTATGCTATTGCATAGCCTCTCGTGCTTTAAGATTGTTATACTTTTTTAAAGTGACGTGCATATATACATATATGTATGTATTAATTTCAGTTTCAATTTGTATTACAGACTTAATCGATCCTAATTTAGCTATTTCGAAACCAGTTTTTTTTTGACAATTTCTTAATTTTATTCAAATAAATCTAAGAATATTAATGAATAATTGTAAGAATGTCAAAGTTAGTTAGGTCAGCTATTTTTTTAAGTATAATGTACAAGATGTAACAACATAATCAATTTTAATTTTGCCATTATAAATTTTACGTTTTCCCCTTTTTAATAAAAAAAATTTCAAGTTCTTTACTTTTCTTAATCTTATTTATCTTATCATTAAATTAATATAACAGTTTTATAAATTTTATTGTAAAAAAAAATTTAGTACAAGCTGGTGTAATATATATAATTAAGAACATACACATGTATCCTATATACCTGAATTTGTAAAACTGTTATATGAATTGCGTTCACAGGAAATATTATTTGCGCATGATTTATTTTTCTTAATATTGTTGTCCTTTTTCTGTATTCTATAAAAAAAAAAAAAAGAAAATTATTTATGAAAACTGAAAAGGAAAAAGGGAAAAATTAAAATTTTTCAAAATATCAAAAAAAAATCGAGAATAATTGCAAAATTAAATTTATAAAGGCAAATTTCTTACAGATTGCTTTTTTAATAAATCGCAATAAAAGATTTTGATTGCAGGGGAAAACAAGTAAAATCTTGCATAAAAAAATGAGAACGTTGAATAAATGTCGGGTTTTTTTTTGTCGTGTTTCTCTCATGTCAGGGTATTTAAAAAATGAATTTAATTATTAAATTCAATACAATACTTACATAAAAAGGCCATAAAAAAAGGAAATTCCTTATTTGCGAATGTATTTGTATATTCTTTTGTTATATACACATGTATGTATATGTAAGTAAATATCAAAAATTCCAAAGTAAGTGATAAAAATAAAAAAAAAATAAACTTCATTTAATTTATAAAAATGTTAGACAATAAAATTAAAGCTTACCAAATTACTGTGTTGACTTTAAACCGTCAAAACATTAACAATTTATATAACGTTATACTCTTTAAATTATCGTTTTTGGATTTATACCAATTTTTTTTAATTCAATTAATGCTTATTTAATTATGCACATTTAATTTTTACGAGTCAACATTTTCGGAAATAAATTTTTACTCGATTTTCAGTTTGAATTAGTTAACTGCAAAATATATGAAGTACCCTATAATTCGGCCCGAATTTTTCGCACCTCTAATATAAAATACACAACATCTTTAATATTTAATATATCCAAATATTCATAGGACCGATTTATAGCAGTTTACCTTATAATACTACTGTAGTCCGCTGTATATAGTGTCAAATTAGAATTTTACAGTCAACTTGTGAACTGCATTTATCAGCTTCGTCGTCTGGTCTTTTATTTTGTACTTAATTACTAGCTGTAACTTTCCAATACATATTTAGTTGAATAATTAATTTAACGTTGCGAATTTTGAACATGTTTTTTTCTTTGTGTTTTTTGTATCGAAAAAATGAAATTCCCTTTGTCTGTGTTTGAAACTTAAGAAATATAATACATTTTGTCATATCCATAACAATAACCATATGCAATGAGTATATAAGGGCAAAGTCACAGAATCGAATTTTCTTGAACTATACATTTTTATCTGCTTGCTTATACACATGTATGTCTCTTATCCTTTATGTCTCTATTTATTTTCGGCTGGAGTTCCCCTTATTTTGATATTGTTATACAACCTGTAATATTTAAAAATACATATGTACATATTATTAATTTATATGAGTTTGGGGTAAAAAAAAAATTTATGTATTTTATAAGAGGAAGTACGAATTCCTCTCTCTTATTTCTCTCTTTTAAAGTTTTTAAGTGAATAACTTTTCATTGTAAGTATCTTATTAAAGAGACATAAAAACTTATTCAATTGTAGTTTTAGAATTTAATTTTTTTTTCTCTTTTAATGGGTAAGGCAACTTGTGTTAATTTATTTAATTTTTAAACGAATTTTGAATTGTTAAAAAAAAAAATTTTTTTTTTCAATATTAATCTACGGGATTATGTTCTTTAAAATTACGGGATTAAAAACTTTTTATAATATCGTTTATAAAAACTAAATATCAAAAAAACCTAGTTTTTGATAAAGATTTCACTCAATTTTTCCACATCTCTAGATGTTTAATTGCTTTTCAAACCAAATTTGTTCGATGGAACAACAAAAATTCTGTCCTTAGTTTAGAAGAAATAAGTTAAATATCACACTCTAGGAAAATATGGGATAAACACAATAAACAAATCCCATAAATTAATAAACAAAGATAAAGACCTGATTCAGAACTTAACTAGATTTAATTTTAAATAGATTTAATTTTAAATGTCTAGTTCTAATTAATTTACCAAAATAATTGCATATCCAAAAGATTCTATTTAAAAATACTGTAAAATAAGTTTGAACAATTGGATCTTTTATGTGTACATAATTAAATAATTTTTTGTAAATCAAGTTTTCATATAAAAATTTATTTAAAATTCAAAATTATTTTTGAATTATTTTAATACAAAATATGGCCATAAAATATTAAAATTAAATATTTTCTTTTTATTATTTCAGACTGATTTATGCGGCATAAAATGGCGTAAATACTTAGTTGGTGAACGACCGCAAGCATCTGGTGAACCATTAGATGATCCAGTATTGCGGTCGTATGCACGTTGCCTAGAATGTGAAATATTATGTGTATGGAGGCGAGTAGCTGCGCCTAGGCAAGAACCAGATCCAAATAATACAATGACATATGATCTGGTAACATCTCATACGCATCCGCCTTTATCTTTAACAGCAGCTAAAGAATTATGGATATTCTGGTATGGTGAAGAACCAGATTTAACTGGATTATTAGATCCAGAATTATTAAGAACACCCGGTGTCGGTAAGTTATAATTTTTATTAAATTATTAATTTATTATTACAAAATTACGCAGATTTGTATATGATTATAATGTTCAGAAACGATTCAAAAACCTTTGGATGAAAAAGTTAAGAGTGACATTAAGCCGTTGTATTTTATAAATCTCGAAAATTCGAACATTTCAGAAACCCGAACACAATACTTCCTCCCTAGATCTTAACATTATACTCATAGGATTTTAAACCATAGTTTGATTTCTCCTTAGCATAAGCCATTTTTTCTACATATTTCTAAGTATCTAGAACAATAAAGTGGGGTGGAGGCAGTTGATATTAAAATAATTTTTAATATCCTTATTTAAAACGTTTTCTTTTATATTTTCAAAAACATTTCTGAAAATTTAAGATTTCATTGTTTTCTACAATATTATTGTACTTATTAAGAAATTTTTGTTAAAAGACTTTGTAGAGATTTTCTAAATTTTTCAATAAACCCCAAATAATTTTGGACCTTTTCTGAAGTGGTTTAAAGGATAAAGCATTAAAATAAAATCCTTAAATATTTTAAATTCCTCAATTTCTGTAAATGTTGTATTTATTTTTGAAGAATTTCAAATAAAATATGAAAATATTTTTTTTTTACACTTTTATTTTAATCTATGTGCTTTCGTATTTGTGGAGCTATCGTAATTAAAATACCAATGTAAATTTCACAGTTTAAAAAAGGATATTTAGTGAAAAATTTTTATGGCATTCATTCCGATACACATTACACCTTGATAATTTTAAAAGGTTTTTCTAATAGATCGGTGCCCAAGAATAATTAAAAATTTCTTAAGTGATATTAAATTATTTTAACAAAAATTCTGTCAAAATACTTAGATATGAACTAATAAAATTTCAATTGCATATGTAACAATATTCTTAATGAATAGGTAGAATAATTAAATACGATATTTACAGTACAGTACTAACTTATTGCATTTAATTACCAAAATACAGATGGCAACATTTTATTTAAACTTCAAATGAATTTATTTCAAAACAAATATCGGCTGCAATTGTCATAAAAAAACTTGTGTCGAATATTTTGTTATTTAATCTGCAAAAATCTCAAATCTGGCATAATCTGATTTTAATCTGTCAAAATTTCTTTAAAGGTTTTTGGGGTTTAAAATTTTTAAAATTCATAAAAATTCTAATTGTCTTAAAATTATGAGAGTAGTTCTTTCTCTACTTTAAAAAAAAATTATATTTGCACTAATTTGGTGTTATATTTGTCAGACTTTCTTCTCCGCCTCTAAAATCCTTGGGCTTTTATTTTTTGTAAAATTTTGTTTAAATTTATAGAATTTTTTCATTTTCTTCCCAAAAACTCTTTACAGTTTTAATATATGCGTATAAAGTATGTATACTTGTTAAAATTGCTTTTTAAAGCCTTGTTGGCTGGTTAATTGGTTATAATATTTTTGGTAGTTGTCGTTTCCATAATGCAATCATTTATTAAATACTTTAATTTTGTTCCAAATTCATTAATTTCAAAATTGGCAGAAAAATCAAAATATGTAAATAGATTGTTAATTTTAAAAAATCGTTAACAAGATATCAAAACAAGATATTTAAAAAATTTTAGTCCTAAAAGTATGCAATAACCTTACTTCAGGAAAATAAAATAAACTTTAAATTAAAAGTTGATTTTTTCATAAATTATTTAAAGCAAATGTGCCAATTTTATAAAGCACTGGTTTCTGATCCGAGTTTATTAAATTTATTTTATTACTGTATATTTTAAGTACTGTATACTGTAGTCTGTGTGTGTGTGCTGAAATGTACTTAACTGAAATTTACGGAAATATAATTTCGCAATAATTCTATTTTTTTTTTTTTTTTGATTTTGTATTTTTACATTATTTTTATTATACATAATAATTTTTCTCATTTTTTTATACATACATATATTATGTATATTGTTAAATAAAATAATATTATACTCGTATAAAAATTTATATTTATAGATAGCCCGATAGATTATACCAGTTTTTATACCAGAAAAGAGATACTTATGTACATAATATGTATGTAAATATAATCGCACGCCCCCCACATTCTTAATCTCTAAAAAAGGAAAATAAATAAAATTTTTAAGGAAAATTTTTTTAATATACTAACACATGTACAATTACAGGCAAAATAAAATGAAAAGCACGTGTACTTTTCATATAATTAAAAAAAATAATAACAAATATTATATTCTATTTTATTGCGGGGAAACTTGCGCAATTCAAAATTTTTATTGTATATAAAAACTTACGTACATATGTAGATATATATGTTTGTACATATAAAAATTTTCTTACTCTCAAATTGAAAATGATTATATTTTTCATTACTTTTATAAAATAAATTATGCCTACTTATATTCATATATTAGTTCACACATTCATACACACATACACAGTATAAATAAATAATATCAACTTTAAGCAAATATAAATAACATTATTTGTTAGATAGCAATTAGGTATCCATATATGTATATATACATAGATGTACATAGTTGTTACAATGTTTAATTTAAAAATTGATATACTCGTATTACTGTTACGACAGTGGATATTCTGACGAACGGAATTTTTTTATATTATTATTATACCTCAAAAAAATTATATATTGCTTGCATTCCATTTGAGAGGGCTTATATGTAAATACCAAAGAAAGGGGAAAACCCTTTAAATTATTTCAAAATTTTTAAAATGTAAGGTAGAGCTTTTTGGCCCAAAAAACCGTCGGAAGAGTAACTTCTTTAAAAAAAAACTGTGTCTAAAGACAAGGCATAAAGAACAAATGGAATACTGTTTTGTGTAGAAATTTTCTTATACATAACAAAAATGAGTAGAAAACAGTATACAAATTTAAATATTAAATATTTGACCCCTATTTCCAAAATAAAAATGTAAAGACATCTTAAAACTACTCCTTAATATGAACTGTTAAAGTTGTAATATATTTAAACGATTTGATGTATAAGGGTTTAAGGTTTATATTAAATATTTAAAATTACTAAAATTTTTTAAAAAAAATATTTAAAATATATCTTTAATTTATTTCTTATAAAAAAAACAAATCCATACAAAATTTTAAATTTCATATTAAAGGAAATTCATATGCATGTATGTACATGTTAAGCTTATATAAAATACATATTAATCTTGTATATACAGCCATATATATGCACTAGTTTACATTTTGCTTGTATACTTGGAAGATAGGTATAAGAAGTTATTAGGCCTCTGGAGAGATGATAAATTTAAAAAGCATATAGGTAGAAGTATATGACATTTTCATTGAAAAAGTATTGGTTGGGAAGAATTTTTTTTTCAGTTTTTTGATTTTATATAACAAATACTAACATAAAAAGGATAAAAATTGAGAGCGTATATAAAATAGAAAAATATCGCTTGTGTAATTTTTCTATATACCTACATTCATTCATATGTAAAAATTCAGTCTATAATATTGTTCTTATATACTTATTGTTTAAATGTATAGTTGAAATAATTTTAATAATTTTAATTGTATAAGATATTTATATTTAATAAATATGTACATATATATGTTCATGTATATCCTTTCCAAAATTATTTACAATTTCTTTGTTTTACGCCGAATTTTCGAAAAAAAGCCCATATATTATTATTTTTCACAATATACATACATATGCGTGTATTATAAACTCATATAAACAAGTATGTGTGCACGTATGTATACACCCGTATGTATATACAATTATACTTTCAAAAAAAAATTTTTAAATTAAAGACCTATACGAATATAATTATATGATCTCCTTTTACTTTTAATGCTTTAAAAAGGAATGTTTTAAAAAGGAAATTATTCTAATGTTATTATGCGAATTTTGTGTATTAAAACCGCATCAATACTATTAATAACTACATCTAGAAGTAAGTTTCAAAAAAAAAAATATACTCATATATACAATAATTCTATTGATAGCAGCGTTATCATTACATTCAGTGTATAATATAATTATTATGACATCACAGTAGAATTTGCTTGAGTAGAAATTTTAATTGAGAGAGAAAAACAGGCTACCAGACCAGCTAGAAATTTTTAAATCAATTATAGATATATCACATTTTTTTTTTAATTAAAAAAAATTCTTTGAGACTAAAAAATAGAAAAAGAAATATAGTAGATCTACACTGGGCTCTCTTTTCTCAATAATTTTGTCAAATGTCCAGGCTCTGGATATTGTTGCAATGTCATGATAAAAATAATTTTTTTTTTTTTGTTTCTATTTTTGCTCATACAAACTATTTAAATAGAAACAACACACACTAGTTTTTCCTTGTAAAATAAAACATAAAATTGTAGCATTACTGTGGTTGCTGCATTGCAGTGTGGCATAATTTGAATCTGAATCGCAAATGGTAGCATTACTGTGGTTGCTGCATTGCAGTGTCGCATAATCTGAATCTGAATCGCAAATGGTAGCATTACTGTGGTTGCTGAATTGCAGTGTCGCATAATCTGAATCTGAATATGAATCATTTATTTATTTAATAGCTACAATATAATGTTTTTGTTGTGAAACTATGGCATTGCAAAAGAAAACAATAAAAATGTGTATGCCAAATAAAATTCAGAAATATCTAAAAAAAAAAATTAACTAAATTACTATAAATTTATTATAATTTATCTAAAATAATTTCTAAAATTTTTCTCATAGAATACGTGTATTTCATGAAATATCAGGGAAACGTTTCATATTGAATAAATTTACAAATTCTTATTAATTATATATTTGGAAATATGTGTTTCCTTTTAATGTATGCAGTATATATGTATATGCTGAACTCCACAATATGATCCCCAATTTTGAAAATTCTGACATAAAAAAAACCTTGACTCCAAAATAACAATAATATTATTGCTGAAGTGCGTTTTAATACCTGCGTTAAATTTAAACATAATTCAGTTTATGCAAAAATTGTGAATATT